TGGGGGACGCGATAATGACAGGGCACTATCGCGCTGCAGAAATTTACCCGCCACGACTGGCAGTAATATCTTGTTACGGGCGCGGTTGCATTCATTATCTCTCTTCGAAAACTAGTTTCGCGGAACTTTTTCTGTCGTCCTTCCGCTCGACTGACGCGTACGACGAGCGTCTGCGTCTTCTGGTTTCTCCTTTTTCCCCGTATCGGTCCCGCAGAGGAGAGAGGAAGGTTTCGTCGTCTGCTCGCCGAGCTTCTGGAGAGATCTCGTCGGAAAGATCCGAGGAACCTGCTTCTCGTGCGATAAAGGGTTCCGCGGAGAGGTCGGAGGAGAGACAAAATCTAACATCTCCTAAGTGTTTTTCTCCGGAGAAGACGACGGGAGGAGCAAGGCTTAAGGGGGCCTTCGTGGGGCCCACGGGGGCCTTCGTGGGGCCCACGGGGGCCTTCATTTTCACCGTCTCGTCCACCTCGGACTCACTGATTGTTTTTTCAATCCTGTCTCCTCGCGAGTTATTGTTTCCAGCCCCTCTCTGTGCGACCACTAAAAGGAAAATACGGGACGGAGGAAAGGCACGCACACGTGGGATTCTTAACTATAGTCTGCAAGCAATAGGCCATGAAAAAAAAAAAAAGAGTCGGGGGTGCAGGTGTAGAGGCGCCTATCTGTCGCCAGGCCTTTCCTTCCCATTCTCGCTGGCATTTTCCCTCAAATCCCACGTTACCACTTAACCCTTTCGACCCCTCCTCGTAAATTTTCCAATTATCATCCCTCTTTTTGTTAAAGCTGTAAATAGAACCAGCCCCATCGTCCTCGATCGACGGGCAATCGAGCTCTCCTACGTCGAGTCGTTCCTGGTCTGCTGACTCCACTTTTTCTGCTCTCGGTTTCTATTTTTTTTTCGCACGGAATGATGAGCGTGTTTCCCACGTCAGAATAGACCGTATCAGGTGCTTAGCAGGGGAGGGGCGTGGCACACTCGAGGAGAAAAAAAAAATCGCGAGCGTTCGGATTCTGTGACCTTACCCAGATTTTCTCTTCGGTGGCCATTTATTGCGTGACTGCCGTCAGTAAAGCATTTCTCGAGTGTCAGGATTCTGGCGACCTGTTGCGATGCCGATTTAGGGAGCTCATTTCTCAACCCGGGCTCTTTTTTCACGCGACTGCCTGACCTTTTCTCATGATTTTCACGACTTTAATGACCTTTTTTTGTGCAATCCCGAAGACATCGGGACGGTTCGAGAACGTCGCTCCCCGCCCCGATCCACGCCGGGAAGACGTGCACACGCCGTCGCATTCGGATGAGCTCAGGACCCCACAGCCTCGGAGCAAACGAGAACGTCGCATTCCGAATGAGAGCCAAGAAAACGGTTCACTTGTCACTCGGAACAAAGAGAATGATGGATATTAGGCCCCTCGTTCCCTCCAGAACCTGTGTACCGGCAGAAAAGTACGCCCCCACCATAAATTTCGGCACTTAATGTTTTGTGATCGTACGTGCAGACAGAGAGCAAGAGAGAGAAAGAGAGAGAGAGAGAGAGAGAATGCATGCAAACGATACATACGGTATGTATAGGTGTGCGCATAGGTGGCCTTTTGGGTTGCCTGGAGGGTTTGCAGGTGCACGAGCGCCGTCCTGGAGCCACGGCCCGCTCTCGCATTCCTCGCCTGACCGGCGCCGACACGTTGTATTACACCTTCTTCGGATTCTCATTCTTCCTGCCTTCCCTTTGGCTTTTCCTCGTCGCTTTCTCGTTTCTTCGCCTCCGACGATCGTCGAAAAGGCTTCTCGCCCGGGTGCGGTCGGATTCTACCCCGAGCGATGCCCCTCGCCCGAACGAGAGGAACCGAGGGCGTTTCTCCTCGCTCGAGATACGGCAGGATTTCTGAAAGGGAAAGAAAAGGCGGTTCGCGACTTCCTGATCGTCGGCCGGGGGAGGAAATCACTGCAGCTGGGTTCACGTGGGAAAGCCGGCGAGTCGCTTGTGTGAGACCCCCACCTGCACGCCCTTCCCATTCCCACATCCCCGTATGTAATTCGCTTAATTATGAGGGCCAAGGGGATTTCCCATCCTTCCTCGAATCCCCTTTAATGGCGTCGTAATTAATGCAGGATCGACAAGCACGTGCGATTTTTGCCAGCAGAGCAGAGCACGTGCATGTCTGCATGGAGTCGAGATCCCGTGTTTTTCACGACACCCATTTCGACGATGAGCTTCGATAAAACGACCCTCGTTCGCATATGGACGGGTGGGAAGCAATATTGCCTTTCTCCCCCTTCGATTTTTCCCACGTTCTGGCGAGCCCTTTGTTGACCCTTCGCGGCGCACGTGGCATATCTCAATTACGGAACGATTATATTCCATGTGCCCATCGGAGATGCACGCTCGAACTGGCAGGAACGTAGATGCTGGGTGGGGGCAGGGGGGGGGCAGGGGGGGCCAAGGGGGGCGGAGGGCAAGTCGCGTGGGAAAACATTAGACCATAAATTTGCAATACAGCTCGTGATCGAAAAAACTCGAGGACGAATCCTTTCGCAGAGTGAAAACATCTGTGCGAGTGTGTTTTTACCCCACACGTCTTCGCGCGGTTTCCTTCTCCGAGGAAGTGGGCCCGGTTTCGTGCAGCCGGTTCTTAGGATCCAGGATTGTGTCATTTGTGAAAGAGGCCGGAGCAGAACAGCTGGGGCGGAGGATGCGTGGGAAACGCAAGTGCTCGGCAGGACGCAGCTGGATGTGAGAACGAGAATGAGAATGAGAGGGTGTGTACTCTTCTGTATACGGCCGGCCTGCATCCCTATTGACATATGGCTTCACCTGGGCGTGGGAAATCTATAACTCCATCTGCAGCCTGAATCTAACAGATTTTTCCCCCCCGTCCGTCTGTCCGGTTCTGGGACGAGGACATTCGCTCCCTTTGACCCCTTCATTCACCTGTATTTTCGGGTGGCGAATCGACGGTTGACTTTTTTTTCCTGCGAAGCATGCAGCGAAATTTGAATGCAAGGTACACATTTTCTGTTTGAAGGAATTCCTGTCACAGTGCGTATCTTATTCACACCCGATCGCCCGATCCGATTCATGGAAAAAAAGAGCCGTTGGCGCACGGCCACGACCCATCTCCACTCGACATTTCCCTTCGCAACGGCGATAAAACGCGGCCGTGGAAGCCACACGGCGAGGAGCGAAGGGGGTGGGTGGGTGTGACTCTGCGGGTGTAATAGGTCGCACATGGCATCCGCACGGCTGGGGTGGGAGCGGCAGATGCAGCAAGGCTTCCCTCGTCCTCCTCCTCCGGGGTTTCCCACGGCTGCGAGCACATCGCATCGGTTCTGACCATGGGACCCGGGGAGAAGCAGCTGCCTCCACGTGCGAACGCCCATGCCCATATGTAAAGGAAATTATTCTCGATAACTTATCCTTCTCTAACGGTCACCCACATCCCCCATGATGGAAGTTTCGGTTGCACCTTTTCCCGCGAAGAGGAAGCCGATAGGAGACCGGATATGCGACGATGAATCACGCGAGGACACCTTCGCCCTCGTTCCTTCCACTTTTCTTCCACGTAATTCTCGGAAAATTGCAGCAGCTTTCCCCAAAAATCCGATTTCGGGACTCGCGTAAGCTTCAAAGGCGGAAGGATTTTTCCTCGACCACACGAATGTCGCCTTTTTTTGCGCGCGACAAAGAGCAGGGTTCAGGTATGCAGAAGGGCACCGGTACCGCGACGAACGAAATTCGCATGAAAATGCCGTGACCATTGTTCCATTGTTCTTCGTCTTCTGGTACCTGCGACTTCCGCTTCCCTTTCTTTTCCTTTGTGCACAGATCCTCACGAGCGCTCGAGGGATCGAGATCCCCCGAAGGCAAGGCATTGAAGGCAAGCATCGCATGCTTCTTTTAGCAGGGATGGAGCTTTTTTTTTTTTTTTACCATGCAACGCGTCTCCGAAACGTTTTCTGGTATCCGAGAAGACGCTATCACACGGCATATTTACATTCCGTCACACGATTGAGGGAATAGAAAAACAGAAGAATTTTGCGAATTCTTGTAATGAATTTGCCTCTGCCCGAGGAAGGTATCAATAACTCGTACTTTAACCATATCGTAATCATCACGGACAATCTGCTTGCGATGAGCTACAACAACTGCATCCATTTCGTGCGGGAAGTACAATATGGTTAATTATTACCATGGATTTCGAGCTGGTGTGGTTTTTGGAGCCAACTGTCTTCCAGGACTTTCTCAGCGCAAACACACTGAATGACGCTTTATGTTCGAATTTCTTTGCTCTTCGATGTCCAACTCGAATTTCGAATTCCACTGTAAGAGAGATCCTCTGTGAATGTGGCAATAGTGATTCGTGAAGAAGCCTAGCTCTTGCAATGCAGCTACATTTCCCCTGATGATGTTCGGTTACGCCAAGTTGAACGGTCGGATGAAACGGATTCCCAGGAGAATTTCATGGAGATGTTGGGACAGGGCATGTCCGAGCTTTCGTCAAAGAGTCGAAACAATAAACTATCCTATAGAATACGATGTTATTGTGTGTAAATGCTGTGTTATGTGTAAATATGTAAGTGTTATTCGGGTTGATTCTCACAGTGCCGAGAGATTCTATCGTGGAAACGTGTTGCGTTACTTTTTCAACGATATCCTTTCACATGCGGGATACTGCTTCATCTGAGAGCCCAACGCCCCCAGAGATAGGGGGGAAAAAAGCCAATTTGCTAACAGAACCTCGAAAGATAGAGATTTGGGAGTGGGGCAGATGGCGTAATATGGTAGAAGATTTCTCGTGGGAACGAGGGTCCCGCCAAATGCTCGACCTCACAACAAGCGTGGTACACATATTTCATTATCCCCAATCAATATTCCATTGTGAATAATGCGTCCTCTATCTGGCTGTGGTGTTTCTCAGGTGGGAATGGGAAGTGAGCGAGGCCCCGCCCCTTTCAGGCCCAGCTGTCTCTCCCCCTCTCGAGGAAATACCTTTAAAGCTGCATGAATCGTTACGCATGGCACCAGTCGCTGCTCGTGCGCCGTGCTCGTAGTATCTCGCTCTCTCGCACTCGCCTTCGACCCACATTGGACTCATCATCTCTTCCTGGTTCGCTCTGCTCCGTCTCGTACGCTTCATCCTCTACCATGAAGGCCGACATTTGTGAATCAGCCATGAAACTTCTCGGCGTCAAAGACGGGAAGGTCACCAAGCCAAAGCCGAAGGAGCTGGAAGCCGAAGAAATGCAGGTATACCTCACGAAACTCAAGGAGTTGGTTCCGTTCATGCCCAAGAACAGGAAGTTGTCGAAGTTAGAAGTCATCCAGTATGTGATCGACTACATTTGTGACCTGCAAAACGCCCTGGAAACGCACCCTGTGAACAAAGTTTCACCGTCTGGAAATAGGCAGCCCCTGCAACCCTTGGGAGTGGTTGCTTCCACCAATACCTGTGCCCAAGAGGTAAGATTCTCTCCCCTTCACGTTTGTAATGTAAGCTGTAGTTTGATGAATTGTGTTGTTGCTCTGACCCGATGCACATAGTTCTTACGAGCAGTTCTATCGCCCATATGGCGAGCGAACAAGGGCGACCATACTTGTAAGATACACACAGGCTATAGAGTAAGTGTAAATGCAAGTGAAGGGCCGTGTGTCAATATGGGGTATGACATCCCACCCCCCTTGATTAGTTAACTGATTAGAGTCCCTGTAGCCTAGCCTCATTTGGGCCATCGATCTGGATCGAACTGACGAGAGCTTTCTGTTTTCTCCGAACAGGGCCAGCAGCACCACCCAGAGAAGTCCCCATCTGAAGTCAGTAGAACTGTTTCCTGCTGAGAAATCTCCAGTTGGGAAATTCCCAAGTGTTACGCTTCAGGACTGCTGCTTAAACCAAAGGTGATCTGTGTTTCTCTCGTCACCCTGTGGCGATGGAAAACCCTCAAGCCAAGGTGAACTGGGCCATTGACGGCTTTTCTCTCAGGGAAGTCTGGGACCTTGAAGAATGGTTTATCTTCCCTCGATGAGCACTGTCTCCGAACTCCAGCGGGGAGGAATGTGATTTCAGTTTTCGAAGTTGAACTGTGATGTCTTCATAGGATTAGGACTTTTTTTGTCTGCTTTTCTTGGTACAAAGTCATGAGTGTTTGAGATCGGAATGCTTGAGAGAAAGCACTGTTAACTGAGAATCAGAGAATCATGGAACTTTCCCGTTCGCTCTTTTATAATGAGTCACTTCCCCAACTCAGGACACGCGGATCTTCTTCCGTAATGACTTCCCATGTAGAAGCTAAATAGTATGCAAGCGCCTAGATGGATTTAATGGAATGAAGAATATATATATACAGGCATCGAATTCCTTGTACCAGTCCTTCCGCAATGTAGCGGTTCGAGTTGATGTACCATCAAAGGGTATGGCAATTGGTATGAAGAGTGAAAGTTGCCGTAAGAACTAGCCTTTCCTTCCTCTTCGGGATCCCCTTTCTCCACGACAAACATGCGGTACCTGAACTGGGGCAAATGCCAACAGACGCGGCGGGGAAGCGGGGGATTTCGAGACAGCATGCAATTCTGTACTGTATGTCGCCGTATTTACACAGCCCGCAGGTATTTGAATTTCGTAGTGGTTGGGAGGAGGGAGTTGAGAAATACGTCATGCGATGCAAGCAGGCATGACGAATGATGAGACATCTGGTATCATCTCACACCTGTGCATACCTTCTCCTTCTCACGGTATTTACCCGGGGCTGGGACTGTATAAGACCGGATAGACGTGCAATTTGCCTGGGAAAACTCACTCGGGAACCCAGGGCCACTTGCCCCCCGGCTCCTCTGGTGCTTTCAGATCGTTTGCTTTCACGACCTGTGAAGCCCCCGAACAAGAGTCAAGACGTTCCAGCCACAACGAGGTGTGAACAAACAGTTGAGAGGAACATTTGGGCGTGAGGAAATTCGTTCAGGTTGTCACCATCGGGACCATGAAGTAATTGCACAAAGAGGAGAAAGGAGTAAACAAAAAAATTCCATGGGACATGTCCACTGTTTCCTAGTACTCCGGTTGTCAACATGAATGGCGAAGAAACCCATTCATTTGAAACGAGGTATGGTAATGAAATGAAACACAGCTCACACAAAGCTTAAATAGTCGCACCAACCTATTTCAGTGAAACATTCACCATGAAATGAAATATGTAATGAATTGCCTTTGAACATGGAAGACTTTGATTCAAATGAATCCTTCCAGTGAGCGAAGGGCGATACATGCGTGAGAATAAGGGGGGGTCTCGGGCTAGGCTTTGCAGGGGACTGAGGGGAGCTGAAGTTGCCCATCTGTTACTCCAAGGTGTGTCTTTTGAAACATATTTTCCCCGGTGAGGAGTTTTTTTCTTTTTGGCCCCCCTGGCCCTGGGATTCTCTCACGGAGGCTGCAGGTGTGAAGTCGGATGGCTTTTGCTTGGAGCTGAATCAAAAGATATCTCTCCCCCCGTCCCTTCATAGGCCTTAGGACCCCTCTTTCAATGGAAGATGCCGAGCACATGATTAAAGATCTTTTTCAGAAGTTGAGCTGAACCCCACGTGCTTCCTCACGTCGTTCCCCTCCCCATGAGCCTCCCTTGGGCGATGCAGCCGGTCGGAGCAGAGCATCTCTTCCCCTATTGACATACCGCTTGCATTCCTTGAAGCCCAGGTGCGTCCTTTAAAAAGCCTCCTCGTGCAACGTGGCATGACATGGCCCAAATACCACTCTCTTCGTGAAACCCCTTTCTGTAGCAAAAAAAAAGCAACTCGTTCTTTCTTCTCGCTCGCTGAACAAGGACGGTAATACCATGCGAAAGCACCCGGAACTCGACGTGGAATTGCTGCAGTGTGGCTTGTTTCTGTGTGACGTCGAGGTCATGCACGAGAAACGTGAGAATAAATGAATGAATGAAATCCAAATGCTCGTGTTTGGGACATATGCTTCATTCAGGATTTCATGGAGATACGGGAGTTCCCATGCATCGAGGACAAAGGTATTGAGGGTGGGGTCCTTCATGAATGGTCCTAGCATGGCACCTGTGTTCTGCGATGCCCTCACTCACACATACCAGACCCAACCGGGAGTTGAGTGAAAGAACGGGATGTCCTCCTATTGTGAGTAGGTTTTATGATTGGATTTATGACCTGGTTGCGCTCTTCAAGCCTCTCTCTCTCTCTTTTTTTTGCACCTGCATCCCAGGCATTGTCTGGATAAAGTCCCACACTGCTCCACCCTGTATTTGGTGGGGTAAAAAAAAAAACAAACTTTTATCTCTGTTCCAATTTTTTCCCACGGTTTCCCCTGGAAATACTTCCGATTCAATGGCAATCTGATATTCACGATTTCGTGCTGCTCTTCTCACACGAATCAATGGAATCTTCACCGAGGGGAAAAAAAGGAAAAGGTATGTGCAATTTTCATGGATGGCTATAGGAGAGAAGAATTCCAAAGGACCAGCGAATCTAAGGGAACATAAAATCATGGGAATCGGAGGAGGGGAGGGGGAAAAGGCAATGAATGGAAAGCCTGGGATGAGGGGGCTAGGAAGCCAGCCCAAAGAGCAACTATGACTATCGATCTCATCCCGTGCCATGTAAGGAGAGAGGGGAGAAAGCCAAGGCAGGGGAGATTCTCTCCCTGGCTCCACAGCATCACCATGTGATCACGAGTGAATGATATGACGACTGATCTGGCTCGGCAACTGACGCGGAAGCCAAACAAATACCTCACAGTCAGCCCTATTTACCCAGGTGCTTACGCCTGCACATGGGCACGTCAATCTGGACCATTCTCGGGACTGTTTCTCACCATGCGTTGCAACATTCTCCCTCTCTTTCTCTCTACCTAAGGCGTTTTTCTCATTATCCATCTTACACCCGAGCCCCGGCCCATTAGGTCCGGGTGAAATTCTCATGATCACGGATGACGAGGTTCTTGTGCTCTCACGCAATGCCTTCCACGGCAAAATTGTCGCTACCTCGCCTGGAGGCAGTGATATCCATTTGTGAAAAATCCTGTAAGCTACAAACGATACCAAGATACGCCCTTAGTCGTGGGAACTATTGTCCCTTGCTGTCAGAGAAGAAATTCCACTTTGGAGATGAAAGAAATGAGAATAGTGGATATGAATGTGCTTAATAATATGAAAGGTTGAACCAGTAGTGAATGAGGGTGGATAATGGAAGCTCTAGGGATATACCCTGTATATTGCCAAGAGGAACGAAACCCCATTGATTTCTCTCTCTCTCTCTACTCTCTTGCCAATATCTGACTCATTTAGGCACGTGTTCTCTTGATCCAATGAGTTCTTGTGCACGTGGCTCCTTTATCCCTTGGCTGTGGCTATGGCTACCTCGGGGCTTGGAGATCATGTTCCATTTCCTGATAAACAAGATCGATTCTCATAGGCCTATACACCATGCACGAGACCCATTGCATGGAGTCCGATCCAATCGCAAATGATGTTCCGAAGCAAGCGGAGAAAAGCAAGAGGATCATCACCACGACCGAGTTGAGGTAGATCAACCGCCGAAACAACGGCTCCAATGAGATCAGACTGCGTTAAGACGACAAGGGAATGTAATGTGATTGGACTAGGAGCACCCGTCAATTCTCAGAAGACTGTGCTATCTGGCCGAATGCATCACCCATCCCATCAAAGCCCTCCTCCCCCAGGTGTCAAATCGCGGGGGCCAGGAGCTACCAGCCCCCCCCCCCCCCCCCCCATTAGGTTTCTTGTGATATGGTGGGCTTCCCAATGGAGAGAGCGAAAAGTTGCGGGGGGGGGATGAGTTGAAATTCCAGTAGTTGCCTCCCACCCTCAGTGCAACTTCTATTCAGGCAATACAATGAAATTATTACGACTCTGTGTAATTTTAATGGGCCCGGATTCTGTAACCAGAAGTTCCCATAAATTTTGTGAAATGTGACGCGAATGCCCCATAGGGTCTCAGTTGTAATATTAAATAATGCGGGCTGAGAATGGAACCTGGCCTATTCCGTCTCTAAGGACCGTCGCTCTCAGGGAGACCATGTGGGGGCCGGGAATGAATGGAATATATTACTGGAACATGGAAGGCAGCAAGAGTTGGGTAATCCATTAGGGCTTCAGAAAGGTATGTGGTTCTGTATTTGGTCTAATGGAGGGGGGGGGGGGATGATGCAATTATAAGGAGTGGCCGAGCGATTTAGTTTGAAAAATACAACAAAAATGAAATCGAAAAGAGAGATGCTATGCAGCAACATCCCTCAGCAGCCCTCCTCTCTTCGATTCTGAGGTTCCACTTCAAACTACTGACCTTCCCCACTCCTATAAACCCTTGTTAAATCTAAGCAAGAGCACGAATCAGACCTCTTCTCATCATATCAGTAATACTACTGCCTGGGATTTTCGGCAACTATGGTGACGTTAGAACAACGATATTTGTCTCTATTCGATGTCATCATTCGTAACCAGTTTCGCCAATCGTTCTTCTCGTGGTGTGTTAAAATACTGTTTAGTGTAGCATCATCGTCGAGGATGCATGGACTCGAACTCCTTGAGAGGAATCTTCGTAGGATCTTAAATCCCTTGCCGCCACAGACACCTAACCTTACACCTTGCATCCATGACAACATTCACACATCCAGAAGAAAATTTTCATCTGCGATTTATTTGTGTTGGGGCCCTATCTGACTCATTTTGCTGAAGTGAAATACATTTTCTTACGTGCGGTTCACCGGAGAAACTAAAAAAGCAATGACCAGCGTATACCAGTTATTTTTCGGAGCCATGGTGCATATTTAAGAAATTATGCTTTTTCTCATGAGGTTCCCAGTGCAATCTGGGAACGAGATTCGTAGCTCCCACGGACAACGTCCCTTTGGACGCCTGAAAGGACTATCAATCTTGAAAGACAGAGCAGGGAGATGATTCAGAGACGGCGGCACAATCGAATTATCATCTCGGGGATTGACAAAAGAGCCTGTCACATAGACGAGATATGAAGCATTCAGAACCTATGAGGCGAAAGCTCAGATTCATAGGGTGAGGGGAGGAGGAAGGGGGAGGATGCCGGAAGTGTGACTAAGACGGAAATGAGGAAAACTTGCCCGCCGAGGGGATGGGCTTTTTTCTATGGCTCATTAAGCTGAAAGCCTGCTCGAGTCCCCAGCAGGGCTCTTCCATTACAGAGATTTTCCCTCTTTCTGGGGCAATAGTATTGCTCGACAACTTCTCCACGGATCGTATTCGGCAGGTCTAAGAATCGAGAATAACGCATGGAATGCCAATGATGCAATGATGTGAGTCATGTGGTGGGTTTTGAGCGAGACTGTGTGTCTGAAGTAATCCCCAT